TCGTCTTCAATATAGTTAAGATTTACACCATTACAGTCTGAAGCAAGTAAATGAGATTCAATATCATTTATGAAAATTGAGAAAAATGAAGATTACAGATCTTCCCCCTATCTGACGCCTTTGTAGTGAGAAGTAGTTTGATACATTATTATTACATTGTACAAGTGATTTGATATTGTTATACATTGATTTAACAAGATTGAGGAATGTACCCTCTATACCAGTCGTTCGCATTTTTTTCTAAAATCCCACTCGCCAAACAGTATCCAAAGCTTTTGTAAAGTCTGTAAAGGCACAACAGAGGTTTTGTTTCCTATCTTTCAAAATTTGCATCAGATTATAAATTATAAATACATTGTCAACAGTGGAGAATAACGTTCTAAACCCGGCTTGGGCATGTGTTAAAACCTTATTAGTATCTAAGAAATATAAGTTTCAAAAGGACAACAGACATTCACCAGGGGTCCACATGACAACACCTTCTGAATGAACCCTTTGTTTAACACTGAAATGGCATAGTCTGAGACCCGATGGGATTGGTTGCTGTAACGGGGCAAAGTCGCTGTAACTCTTTGGTAAGCAAAGACATGTACAAGGCCTTGAGAACACGCGTAGAAAAGGTATGTCATCGTTTTTACAGTATGTTGTTATTTGCATATGTCAGAACTAAACATTTGAGTCATCACTGGAGGGGTGGCGGGTGGTTTGATAACGATTTGTCTGATTGTAACCGTAGTTTTCATGAAAATCGGAAAACATATTTCAAGTGTATCTGGAAGCAAGATGAAAAGAATGCTATGGACACGGATTCACTTATATAGATCTTGAAGCAACAAACCCGGTCTATGACAACCGATAGATGCTGGCATACTGGTACACAAACATAAGATAAAAGGGCTTTAAGTCGCATTCATCACTATGCCAGCCACCCGTCAACCTGAAACTAATGAAATCTTGTGAGGCCATAGTATAATCAAGTTACAAACCGCCGAGGTTTGGCTTCATGCATCCGAAACAAGTCACCGAGTCGGACACCCTACCTATTTAGTCGCTACCTACAACAACCATAGGCTGCGACAGAACTATTGTACCCAGAGTCCGCACACAAATGTATCGTATGAACGAAAAGGCACCTCTCGAAAACTTGAATCTCAACTGTCATCAATAAAAAACAGCTAAAATGAATACCTCTATTGATGGTATATCTGTTTACATATTTCCATGGCAATTTTAATACAACTCACTATTTATCAATAGTACAGTTTCACTCATGTGGACATGTTTTCCTGCATGAAACAACAGCAATCCACTGATAGGAATGCATCAAGTTGTACCCATGTGGGGAATCGAACCCGGCCCTTCGGCGTGACGAGCGAACGCTTTAACCACTAGGTTACCCCACCGCCCCTTGTTTAAGAAGAAAAGAAACATGCTGACTATGAACATATATATCAACATACCATTATTGGTATCGCGATATTGCAATTACACTTTGTATTTTTTGCATATGTAAATGGTACTGTGGATTGAGATCTGTATTTTTGATATTTCTATTTTCTATGTAAATTACGTTATTTGTTGACAACGTTGGTGGTATTTACAGTGTATGTATAGAACATTATGTTTGGCAGATTCACTGTGCGTGAATGACTGAACAGTTTTCCTTCCAACCATATTAGTCAGTTTGAATTAGATTATGTAAAATATCTAATTAAATTGTTTGTTTGGCTGCGAAGGTCGTCTTGCACATTCTCGTTATAAAGCTCTCGGTAAGTTTTCGGTAACGGCCACAGAGTTGGCGTGTGGCCTCTTCACGGGATATTTCATTTACCATGGAGTCGGTCTTTTGTATGTAGGAGTAAGTGAGCATGGTTTTAGCCAGCTTTTAACAATATTCCAGCAATATCTCAGCGGGTCACACGAGAAATGGGCTTCACACATTGTACCCATGTACGGAATCGAACCCGGGTCTTCGGCGTGACGAGCGAATGATTTAACCACTAGGCTACCCCACCGTCCCTCTTACCTGTAGGAAAGCCAAAAAGATCCAAGTCAGGGTTAATAATGGATTCGAGGTTTCGTATCAAGAAGAATGATGCAAGACTGTACATCATCAGTTTTATCTATATATTATTGTAAAGATGAGATATAGTCAAGATTAAGTTAATCTAGGCGTTTGCATGGCACATGTGTTAAGTCTTCTTGTTAGCTCTCAAATGTATACTTTTACTTCCCTGGTTACGATATGGGGATCGAACCACCGACATTCCGCAAAGAAAAACACTGACTGACTGTCGGCATATGTCCATATTGACCACCCGGGCCAAAATGCAAATCAGCCGTAGGCCCAAGGGCCGAAAATCCATATCAGCCCAAGGGCCGAAAATCCATATCAACCGTATTGCCCGCCTTCTAAACTGGTACGAAACGAACACACGCAAACTCTCGAAACTTCAACAGACGGAGCTTAGTTTATTTTACGCCCCTCGATGTGGTACGTTATGACATGACAGTTACCTTTTCGCCAGTAATATCAGCGCTCCACTACCACATCAGACCTCGGGACCTTCGGCACTCTGACTCATATGGTAGTCTCGGGCCGATATGACTGGTGAAAGTCATGATGTAATAATCTCTTAATATTAGCACGGAGATATTATTTACAAATAGTACTAAAAATAAAAGTTATCTTATCAACGTACATGTGCTCATTTCTAAATATCTTTACAAATATTAATTAGTTATACTCCACACACATTTTGAAGGCTTCACTCATATAGACATGAATGATAAAAACTCACATGTGAAATTACTATAATATACAAATCACAAGTTGTCAGTGATGTTATGTTGATCATGAGAATGGCAACAACATGGGGTAAAGTATTAACGGTAAACGTTTGAAATCCAAGTTTTGTTTACAGCCATCAAGAGAAAAAAACCCGTAACACACGAATACAGGCAGCTGCTACCATTGAAAGCTCATGTGGTCTCAAATGTTCGGAACGATAGGAGCGACAGAAAAGCAGAACAAAGTGTGCGACGATTCTGAGTACAGCAGCAGGAATGCTTTCAAGAGGCTATAGTCAAAGTCATGTTTTGGCACAATTTGACGTCACTCAGAATATTATTGGTAGTCTGTGGCAACGGTACCGAGCCACTAGAGAGGAGGCAGGATAGCTACAGCGTAAACCTTAGTCACCGTAACATGTTCCTATCGTCATATGACTCATGATGAACTATTTAATTACATGAAAGTGCGCATTCGTAAAAGCTCAATACGATCGGTCACTTTTGCTCCTTTCTTGACGCCCGGCAGTTCGACCACCATATCATAGACAGGTGCTTTGGTGCTCTCACCATCAACGATGGAATCAAGGTCAGTGGGCCATCAGTTCTTTTCTCTGATGAAAACAGATTCAATCGTTCATTCCAAGATGAAAAGTATACGGTTTGAAGATGTATTGTTTGATAACTATGTTATGAGGCAGCATAATAGCGACCGCAACTTAATGGATGACAACTTTTTATTTATTGCATAGAGCGACGTTTTACGCGCAATGCTTCAGTTACGAGATACTGGCTCTACCGAGACTCCTTTCATGAGAACTATGTGGAGGTATAGAGGCTCTCCTGTACTGTCACAATGAATTCTTTCAAAATTTTTGTACGAATGCGTAGAGCTTTTTAGACAGGCATACATTTTCATGCTACTGGTATGTACCACGTCTGTTCCTGTATTACTTGTTCAGTAACCCGTGAAGATCCGCAGTATATAACCAAACTTTATTTTCGGGATCGGGTGGTAAGGCTTGCTGACATGGTTGGCACATGTCATCGTATCCCAGTTGGCAGATCGATGCGCACGTTGTTGATCACTAGATTGTGTGGTGCAGACTCGATTATTTACAGACCGCCGCCATATAGCTGGAATATTGCTTTGTGCGGCGTAAAACTAAACTCACTCACTTCTACGTGTAAATGCACTTCCTGTATTTTTGTGACAACCTCAGTGATCGATGCACCGTTTATTTATGTAAACATGAAAATGTTCTTCTAATGTTATACCAATCATCATTCTCTCTGTATATACATTGTATGCAACTTATCGTATGACAAAGGACGTTCATAGTTAACTGTTCAATCTTTAAAACCCTTTGGTACAGGGTTTATGGGGTTGTGTGGAGTTATATGCACGGACAGGTCAGTACGTCCTGCAATGTCACTTACTGTGGGAAGACAATTCAGCCAGTGCATCGGGTCGTCTGTAAGAACGCCCATACAGAGTTCTGAGAAAATAGTCTCAGCCGATTTTTATTGCATGAGGAGGCGCGACTTCAGCAAAGTGAAGTATCCCAAGAGGTTTATTTACAACATTATACAAGCACTTATAAATCGTAATCGCGTGACACTGCAATGCACACAATACATTCAAAAGCTCATAAAAGTATGGGCTGAAGGGTGGGGGGACAACGTTCCGGTTTAAGTGTTCAACAGCCACCCAGGAGAAACGTGAGTCAATGTAGTCCATGCTGTGCGCACACCCGCTGTATAATATTGCTGTGTCGTAATACTGCACACAAGAGAAGTTGCAGTTGCTCACAAGCTGTAGTTGTGTCGCAATACTTCAAGCTTCCAAGTTGAAGTTGTTTTTTATACTGTACAACTTCTATTTTTTAATCAAATATTCTCTTCAAACTACGTGTTGACACACCAGCTGAATAACGACGGTCTGTAAACAGTCGAGTCTAGACAAACCTGACCACCCGTTCCCGTTGGTTGCTTTAGATGAGTTCTATCTTGGGTCTCTTTTCAGTTCAATCCTATCAACTTCATCAGAAGATTGTTCCTCAAAAGACCCCTCACTCAATTACAAAAAGCAGTTCCTACAACGAAGCATACCAATTCTACTTAAGACGTCATATCGTTAACTTTACAACGGGTCAATATGACCTACATACCTTAACCAGTTGCAAAATACCTTCACTGAGTGGAAAAATATCACGTTGTCGGTGACGTCACAGTTAAGGACATGACAACCTGGCTATGGTTCTATAACTGGGGCACAGACTTCGTAGAGTTCACACAAACAAACGGACTACACAATGTTGATACTGACGTTGATCTCAACGACATTGTTGATTAGTAACATCCACGCAGATGCCAACAACCCAGGTAGGCCCTTAATCAAACCCTGTTTGGATGCGCTTCACAAAACGCGTCTCGCACAATCGTGATCTGTGTTTGCCGACCTGATGTTGTAAACACTAGTCCAGGAAAGTTATATGTACAGATATGGCTTACCAGGGATCTCACTCTTCCCTTCACCGTTCAGTATCACTATTTCTCAAAAACTAATTGTAATTAGGCACGGGAATGTATATATGAATATAAAGACATTTAAGGTTACGTACAAACTGTGTGTGGATCTTCTCATGTAGATTAACTGTTACTGTGTACACATCATAATCTTGTCAACAGAGCCCAGTGTTATTTGGTTTTGTTTGTATCTGAATATGGATCAGCTGCTCCTCAAATAGTCTTTCTTTTTCAGAATACTTGAATATATATAGTTTGTATTACGGGGCTGTTGATATAAATTCTTTGAACAAGACACGAAGTAATTAGCTACAGACACTCTGTAATTTGAAACGATATGCTAGCTTACTCTTAAAATGCAAGGAAAATTACGTGGCATCAATCTTCAGCCCAATTCATAAACACAAGTTTGTCTTAGAGTTTCTCTCTTAGGCTGGAAGTTTACATGAATGCCCCTGGACAAACCCGGTATGAGAAATATTCCCGTTCTTACAGTTGTGAGTGTTGAAAGGAATCTGTTCATATGATTGTCATCACTATTTTATTTGTTTAACGGGAGTTAGTAATTGCGCAGTATAATTGTTAACATTATTTTTATATCAAACGGTACCCGTGAAGGTCCGGGTTAGGATGTGCCTCCAGTAACCCATGCTTGTCGTATAAGGCGACTAACGGGATCGGGTGGTCAGGCTCGCTGACTTGGTTGACACATGTCATCGGTTCCTAATTGCGCAGATCGATGCTCCTGCTGTTGATCACTGGATTGTCTGGTCCAGACTCGATTATTTACAGACCGTCGCCATATAGCTCGAATATTGCTGAGAGCGGCGTAAAACTAAACTCACTCACTCATTCATATTAAACGGAGTCTAGTCATATAATTGCCACTACTACTATGTATGTATGTTAAACGGAGTCATATAATTCGTAAATACTATGTTGTACGTTAAACGGAGTTTGTTCATATAACTGTCACTACTATTTGGTATGTTGAGTGTGTTCATATAAGTGTCGCCATATAGCTGGAATGTTCCTAAGTGCGCTTTAAACAGCAAACAAATAATATAGTCACTACTATATTTATGTTGACATGAGTCTGTCCAAGGCTTAATATTTTCTGTCGTATATGATTTAGATTGACATGTAGACATTATCATGTTACGGACATTAACAGCCAGTATTTGTAACAGGTTTATATACCGCCTCATCTTGTTTACCGTTTTCACAAATAATTACATAATACCAGATGGACAACGCCCAACCACACAGTCGTATTGTCTTTAAATACTTTGACTTTAAATGTCGAGGAAACTAAATTGAACTGTTTTTTTCATAATCTACACCCGTTTAGGTCACATATACTGATATAAAGCACTAACGTCTGTTGTCACTTATGATGTCTTCTGTTGGCCTTATACTGAATAAATCTGTCTGTCTGTCTGTCTTCTGTTGAACCCATCTGAGACAAGAAAATTACAAACCCGTTTCAGTCACACTTAAACACAAACATTGAACCACGAAGATATCTGGTTGTGATCCCTTACAGATGAATTCCTTTGTTATAACTGTTTAAGACATGACATTGTTAAGATTACCCGTCTATGTCACAGCACACACTAATCTTAAAACATCATAATATCTGGTTGTTAACATGTTACACCGCTGTCACAGTATACACTAATATGAAACCATCTGGTTGTTAACATCTTTCATTGGTGTCTGCTATTCCCGTTTAAGTCAAAGTACACGCTAAGATTCAAACATTCCGATATCTGGTTGTTAACATGCTTCATTGGTGTCTGCTATTCCCGTTTAAGTCAAAGTACACGCTAATATTCAAACATTACGATATCTGGTTGTTAACATGTTTCATTGGTGTCTGCTATTCCCGTTTAAGTCAAAGTACGAGCTAAGATTCAAAAATTACGATATCTGGTTGTTAACATCTTTCATTGGTGTCTGCTATTCCTGTTTAAGTCAAAGTACGAGCTAAGATTCAAACATTACGATATTTGATTGTTAACCAGTTTCATTGGTGTCTGCTATTCCCGTTTAAGTCAAAGTACAGGCTAATATTCAAACATTACGATATCTGGTTGTTAACATCTTACATTGGTGTCCGCTATTCTCGTTTAAGTCAAAGCACACGCTAATTTAAAAAAAATACGATATCTGGTCGTTAACATCTTTCATTGGTGTCTGCTATTCCCCTTTAAGTCAAAGTACACGCTAATTTTCAAAAAATACGATATCTGGTTGTTAACATGCTTGATTGGTGTCTGCTCTTACCGTTCAAGTCAAAGTACGAGCTAAGATTCAAACATTACGATATCTGGTTGTTAACCAGTTTTATTAGTGTCTGCTATTCCCGTTTAATTCCCGTTAAGCTCTCTGATTGTTTGTTTTTTAAAGCAGCACTCGGCAATGTTCCAGTTAATTTCTCATAATGGTTCCGTTCACCTTCAAATATTGATCATGTTTTTTCTTTCAATAACTTCTGCATGCGTCATCTATCTCGAGTTGAGAACCGAATCTTTGAGTTTTTATAACTTGTGTCTTTTTTTCAGTGATAGTAGCCAACACAACGTTCTTGGTGAACGAAACAGCAACACACGTTTCATCGCCTGTGTTTGATTTTGATTATCGGTATGTACGCTTGTGCATCCTAAATATTTTAAACTTTGTTTGCAATGATCTATTGGCTGATACGCTTTGTATTTATATAATTCAGTTGTTCAGTCTAACATGATGCATACCTTTGACCACTTCACTGACGTGGAACCAGGTAAAAAAAACATGTTGCTAACATTTGCCATGCAAACCAAATTGCTGTCACGAGCGAGAATAATGCTGTGCTATCATAGATAGGTCGCGATGTCCCAGTCGCATTGCATGTTTCAAAATAGAGATGGCATAAACTACACTGGATAACGAGGAACTGAAATATTTGTGAAAGAGTGACTCTAGTTTTTCGCCGTTTTTAAGCATTATTCCATCAATATCACGGCGGGAGACACGAGCAATGGTCCTCACATGTTGTACTAATGTGTGGAATTGAACCCAGGTCTTCGTCAGAACGAGCGAACGCTTTAACCAATAGGCTACCCCGCCGCCGAAATATTTGTGTCCATGTAGCTACAAACGTAAAAACTGGTGTGCATCATATTTGAAGCAGTAATAACACTGTATGTCCAAAGGGAGCAGCGGGGTAGTCCAGTGGTTAAAGCGTTCGCTCGAAAGTCCAAAGAACCGAGTTCGATTCCCTACAATGGGTATAGCCCGTTTCTTGTGCTTCATGTCGTGATGGGCGGTTGGGCAGCCTAGTGGTTAAAGCGTTAGCTCGTCACGCCGAAGACCCGGGTTCGAATCCCCGCATGGGTACAATGTGTGAAGCCTATTTCTGGTGTCCCCCGCCGTGATGTTGCTGGAATATTGCTAAAAGCGGCGTAAAACCAAAACTCAGTCCTGTCGTGATATTGATGGAATATTGCTATAAGTGGCATAAAACCGTACTCACCTGTTCACGTATAGTCCAAAGAGATCAATGTCTTATCCGGCTACCACTGGGGCAAGGGGAACCCACTGGGGAGGAGTTGAAAACCCCATAAACATGATGAAAGTCAAACTGTGATTCGAACCTACGTCATACGTTTTTACACAAATAAGGGACTCAACCTTGGGCTGCGAACTGGAGTGCCTTAGACAACTGAGCAATACATGCCTTCATCCAAAGCATAGAAGAAGTGGTGGTATTTACCGTATAATTAGTACCTATTGTTTGTAAATGCTTTAAAATTTGTATTCTGACAGAGATGCCTCAGTTCGCATCTACTATCTCTCACACTTACTTTAGTTGTTGCACATTTGATGTTATCCTCTGTATCTGCAGAGGTCACATCTCGAGAATATTCATTTACCCCTGGATCAATTCCCGAGGTCTGAAATTACTTGTCCTTTGCATTTTTATTGCCGACCAGTACAACGTCGAGATAAGGAACAAGGAACAAGTGAGTGAGTGAGAGAGTATGGTTTTACCCCTTTACACATTGTACCTGTGTGGGGAATCGAACCCGGGTCTTCTGCGTGACGCACGGACGCTTTTACCATAAGGCTACCCCACCGTCCTTAAGGAGCAAGGAAATGGATAAAGGGTGTAATTTGTATTACCTAGGGCCTCAAGGCACCATCAGTCATAATTGAGATGGAGACGAACACTGGAATGGACCTCGGGGTTAGTGAAGGGGCCCAAGACATACAGAGTATGATATGATGTGCTATGTAAATGATACAATTCGAACACATTTCTTTTCAGCCTTATTTTTTTCCCCATGGTGGAAGTTACAAGCCCAAAACCCAGACATGAACATTATCTTACATATAGTAAAGTTCGGAAAGTACAGGTGGTCGCCGTGCGCTTCAAGTTCTTTAACCGTATATGATGGTAAGTTAACTTTGCGCTATCATCACACAATAGATATCTCGAGTGAGTGTGTATGTGTGTGCGCGCGCTTGTGTTTTCGTGCGTGTGTATGTGCGTGCGTGCGTGCTTACATGTACTGTTTGTCGGGGCGAATGTTTTGTGCGGAAATGTATGACAGAAATGTGTGTCTATATGTTTGATTTTGGATTCTGTGTATGTGTGTGGTGCTCGCGCGCGTGCGTGCCTGTGTATGCGTGTCTGTGTGGGAACAGGTGTGCATGTTAATATGTATTCTTTGTCAGGTATTGTCCTGATAAAAGAAAGCTGGAATCCGTGAACGAAGGCCACGTCTATGCACAGTATTTGTTTATTTCACACGACTGGACATGAATACTGCCAAGAGTTACTAAATTTATGCAATTCAATTCGTCACATGTGAAGGAACCGACTTGTTTCCAGGTCCAGCGACAGCAAGTCCACGACTGGCTGTTTTCTGCGAGTCGCTTACAGATCGACATCTAGTCAGTTCTGGGGATACCATGTTCATTGCTGCATACTATGATTACTTTGGACCCAACACATCATATTCCTTTGCTTTCTCATCAGAAAGAGGTAACAATGCATAGCAAACAGCTGTTAAAAGGAACTTGTATGTGTGTGTGTGTGTGTGTGTATACAGTTTACTGACAAAATTATATATCAGTCAATAAATCGACATTACAACACACACACGTTGATGTTATATATACTGAAGGAACAAAATAAGGGATCACATGAAAGCACAAGTGTTCCTTTATTTTTTTATAGGTGTCTTCACAAACTGTGCAATACAAGGCTTGTGAAGAAACCTTGGAAAAAAATAAAGGAACACTTGTGCTTTCATGTGATCCCTTATTTTCTTCCCTCAGTATATATGTTAGTGTGTGCGCGCGTAAACATATATATACACACTCAGACACACACAACCAATGTGTGTGTGTTGTAATGTCGATTTACTTTACTTTGTCAGTAAACTGTCAGGCAAAAGAAAACACTTAAAATTGGATGTTGCCATAATATATATTACAGAGGTCTAAAATACAATCATGATAGACGTTCTCAATACATCGAATAACCATTTCATATTTGTTCCATCGATGCTTTCCTTGACCTGCAGTTTAATTCTGTTGGGTTTTTTTCAGGTTAAGTCACGATATCTTCAGTAAAGTAAATGTACACCGTTAATTGCCACTGTGTCGCAAGTCATCTCAGCATAGTAGATTTTTGTATGTATATGAACGTGTGTATTTAGTAGGAGGTTCCACAGTTGGTAGTGTTGAATTATTTCCCTTTTGCTTATCCGGATTCGCAGATCTTTATTTTGCCTAGATTATGATCCTTTGTTTGTACAAGTAAGCGGTGCACTATATAACTCTCTCAATTTCTGTTATCTACCACATTATGCCGACGTGTCAAGATGTAATTTATAAATAGGACAGCCATAAACACCTTCACACACTCACATGTATCCAATGTATTCAGTTGACAAATCCTGCGGAGGTGTTCTTGAAGCCAGTTCTACAATCAATTATCTGACTTCACCCGGGTATCCCCGAAACTATTTCAAGTGAGTACAGAAGGGGTGCTTATAACCATAACCCACAACCCGGGAACATTCGAGAGACAGGTCATACTCACTCAAGACTAATCAGATTAATAATAATTTGAAAAGTGTTTTGATTGATTAAAGATGATAGTTTAAAACAGTCCCTCGTCTTTGTATGTGACATTAAAACACTTGAAGGAGAAATTATAACATTTGCAGAATGATTTAAGAGTGACTGATAGGAAATTTTACAGATGTTTACAACAGACTGTTGATGTTTATACAGACGTCATCGGTCTGGATTCTTCAAATCTTATATTTGTTCCAGCAATCAGACATGTGAGTGGACCATACAATCCCAGAACGAGTCCGTGACTGTGGCAATATTTGCAGTGTCTGTGAAGCTACAGGGTTCCTCGACATGTTCAAACGATTTTTTGAAAATATTTTTCCTCAACGATACGCATAGTAAGTATGATTAATCATAAAAACATGGCCATCCCTTCCATATATTTAACTATTTGTTTTGGTATCAATGATCGAGGGGCGGTGAGGTAGCCTAGTGGTTAAAACGTTCGCCCGTCACGTCGAAGACCCGGGTTCGATTCTCCACATGGGTACAATGTGTGAAACCCATTTCTGGTGTCCTTCTCGCCTTGATATTACTGGAAAATTCCTAAAAGCATACAAACACACCCAGTGAGCGTTAACGTAACGTGTGGGTTAAGTTTACAGGCATAGTATGTTTAACGATGATGGAATCTGCACCAACACGTCGCATTTTGTGATTCAGAAGCCTTCCTATCTGTTTCATCGAATCTTGTGTATTTTTCACATTTATCCGCCATAATCACGAACAGAAGTGCGCAGCACGCATTCAAATTATTACCGACAACTGGTGAGCCTTGGCAGTTGATAATGATAATTGTCTTAATAAATCTAGTTTTACGGGTTGGGATCAGATGCAACTTAAGTTCTACGTGACAAGGGTTTTAGTTCTGTTATTTTGTTTTCAGATGAGCTGCTGCTTACAACAATATGCTCGACAACAAGCCAATATTTTTTGGTTAAGAGTCCCAGAAATACGCTAATCCTGCGTTTCGAAACTGACAGTGAATTGGTGGACAAGGGGTTTGACATATCGTACACAACGGAACCAGGTACGTATAAGGGATATATGGCGTTATTGTCTGGAAATTTAGTTTGACGTATATATATATATATATATGTTTAATGTGTGAGTTTAAGGGCCTTCCCAACATTCCAGCTTTATCATGACCATTATTTGTAAACAGATCACGTTTGGGATCGGCAAACCAGAAAATCCAGTGACACGTCAGCACTAATTTTATGAAATTAAATTTTGAAAACGTAAAGAAAAAAGTTTACTGCTATGGTTAATGGTATCGTACTAGTCCTGTGTTAGTGAGCCTGACCACCCGATCCCGTTAGTCTCTCCTGACGACAAGCATGGGTTACTGAAGATCAATTCTAACCGAGATCTTCATGGATTTTGTGTGATGAAGGTTCATCATAACGTGTTATACTTAGTCAATCGCTCACGCCAAAGATTCGGGTTTTATTTGGATTCACCACATAACTTCTATTTCTCGGAACCCCGAAGGGTTTTATCAGAGTAGTACAGCTTGCGACATTGTACAACACCAATACAACTAAAATCCTGTTCAGATATTTAAAGCTTAACTGTTCTACAAACAAGCAAACAAGTATCACTGTACCCCATCGTTTTTATTGGACTAAATTATGAGTATTCTTTTACGACGCTTCGAGCAATATTCCAGCATTGTCACGGGGTACACCAGAAATTGACATCAGGCATTCTGCCCATGCCTGAAATCGAACACGCGTTTTCGGCGTGATGAAGGAATGCTTTATGCACGTATTTGGCTACGCCCCTAGAACTACTGCATACCACTGTATGTTTTTGGTGTACTCGTGATCGTTTGAGTGAGCGAGCAAGATTTCACGCCGCTTTTATCAATATTCCAGCAATATCGCCGCGGGGCACACCAGAAATAGGCTTCACGCATTAAACCAATGTGGGGAATCGAAGCCGGGTGTTCGACGTGACGAGTGAACGTTTTAATCACTAGGCTACCCAACCGCCACTCGGTCGTTTGACAGTATGAACAGTAAAAGGTCTTTATCATGCATCTTCCTCATGGAGATCATCAGTTGTCAATTCCAGATGAGGTAAACTGTTGCATCACTGTATTTTCTTGCACCACAGCCACAACTACAGCCACAGCCACAACTATAACCACAACTACATCTACAACTACAGCCACGACTAGAGGCACAGTTAGACCGAACCACTGTGAGGATACATACCTGAGTGCTACAGAAACCGATCAGTATGTGACATCGCCAGGTTATCCTACCAGATACGTTCCGTACGTATATTTGTGTTCATCTGTCTGTTTCGTCTGGTTGATCCTTTGTGAAATGTGTCTGTGTATGTATGTATGTATGTATGTATGTATGTATGTATGTATGTATGTATGTATGTATGTATGTATGTATGTATGTATGTATGTATGTAATATGTATGTATGTATGTATGTATGTATGTGTATGCGTGCGTGTGTGTGTGTGTGTGTGTGTGTGCGCGTGCGTGCGTGCGTGCGTGTGTGTGTACACGTTCATGTATAATGTTGACGTTGATTTGGTTTCTAGGGACCTGTATTGTGTCTGGCACATATCAGCGCCCCGAGGGAAGATGATCCATGTTGAAGTCGTTGATTCAGAACTGGAATCCTCCACATCATGTAGCTATGACATCGTGAAAGCCTTCGACGGTGGGCTACATAATTTTGTGTACTTGTCCAGAATTGTGAACTTTGTATCTCCGCGAATAACAGATTGTTAATTGAGACTGATGTAACCCAAAACAACTCTGATTTCCATTTTTTCCTTAAATGCAAATGCACGGAATAGAACGTCTGCCGCGGCTGAATACGTCTCGTAGGCGAACATATTCCATGTTGAGGAGACACGGTCTAATATCCGGGCGTTTTCTTTGTGGCATTTGCTTTGCTCAATATCCGCTGCTGGTCGGTTCAAATCCCATCGTCGTCCTTGGTATAACCATTTTGCCAGAAGAAGTCGTTTTACCAACGAGGAAAACATTTCAAATTTAGGTTACTTAATTGCGTTTGCCTCACTCATTTACCTGAAGCGTATGACATGACCGATATACTCACGCGCTCACTCCGTTTGCATCACTCATTTACCTGAAGCGTACGACATGATCGAAATACTCACGCGCTCACTCCGTTTGCATCACTCATTTACCTGAAGCATACGACATGATCGAAATACTCAAGCGCTCACTCCGTTTCCTTCACTCATTTACCTGATGCGTACGACATGACCGAAATACTCACGCGCTCACTCCGTTTGCATCACTCATTTACCTGAAGCGTACGACATGACCGAAATACTCACGCGCTCACTCCGTTTGCATCACTCATTTACCTGAAGCGCACGACATGACCGAAATACTCACGCGCTCACTTCAGTGCGATAATACCCGAAAGTTAATTTGATAAGGCATCTTTTTAGGACAGCATAAACTTTCAGGCAACATAAATATCATTCACGTGTAAAACCCGCGAAACGTTTTAAGATCATTGAGTGGAAATTTGTAACTATATGAATAATAAGCATGAAAAAGCTCATAAGTACATAAAGGAGAAAATTAATCTTTATGTAGAGTCCATTATATTTATTCAACTATGTCAGTTTCACATGTTTATGGATCATCACGTTTTGTTTCAGGTGCCACAAATCAAAGTTCTCTTCTTGAAAACTGGTGTGGTGACAGAGCCCCCACATTTCAAAGTACAGGAAATGCCATGTTAATAATCTTCAAAACTGATAGAAGTATAAATGAAAAAGGTTTCCGTCTGAAATATTCAATGACAGAAAGTGAGTATTATATTCATTTCACAGTCATTTTACTTTCTCAATGTAAGCTGAGGACCAACTATTGAGGATACGAAAACTCATGAAACAAATATAGACTGAAAACAATGATTGGGTAAACGAATTGGATCTCAGTTTCATGATAAACGAAAAAGCAGTCAGTAGCATGATCATTATGTGACGAGGACCTTGCAATTGTCTTTGGATGTATCTGGGCAGAATCTCATCAGTAGCGCATCATTGTCAGAGAACTGCCGAAAACAACTGAATGCACATGCGGGTCTCTATGACAGGTCGCTATGTTTAAGCGTTCGTGAGACCGAAAGATGCAATCGGACAATGAACGACAACGCGTCATCTTATGGTGCGTGGGTTGTCGATGCTTACTTCGGACAGTAGACATTTGACACATGAGATCGCTCTGTCTTTCTACCAAATCCACAGGACCTTGGCAATACTCTTCTGAAGCGTGTATTCTCCTGGGACTCGTTCCCCAAAGCGATCGTAGCGCTACGACATTCGTAAGTAAAATAGTCGTAAGTGCCATACATTAACATTAACTTACGACTATCCTAGCGCTAAGAGAGCTTCGAAAATATAGGCCCTGTACACTTGTTAGGAGTGTGAAACGACTGCTCCCTGTGATGGCATCACGTGTATCAATTAGGGGCTCAGATGTCTTTTTCTTTTCTTTTTAACTTTGTGTGTGCGTGTGTGTGTCATTAAAAATATTTTTTTATGTTTATGTTTTAGTCAGATACTCTACATATAAATGTCTTAAGGGGTGATCTTACTGAGTATTTCTGTTAGATAATTCGTCGAAGGCTTTATACAACTAACATATCCACACCCATTCTAATTACAGCACCCTACGCCTGTAGTACAAACGTCTCTGTGACGGCTTCGGGAACGATGATCTACTCACCAATGTATCCTGTTACTTACCCAAGGTAGATTCTCTTATAACTGGGCTAAATGGATTGAGTATTACTACACGTAGAGGGAACTTGACCAACTCTTATAGTTGTGTCCACAGATTTTCAAAGATCCGTGGGGCGGTGGGGTAGCCTAGTGGTTAAAGCGTCCGCTCGTCACGCCGGAAACCCGGGTTCAATTCCCCACATGGGTTCAACGTGTGAAGCCCATTTCTGGTGTCTCCCGCCGTGATATTATTGGAATAAAGTGGCGTGAAACCATACTCACTCACTCAAAGATCCGTGGTGCAAGATTCATCCATTGGTCTGTAAGCACCACGTTGTGCCCACTGATGTCATCAGACTGATCAACTCACACCCTATAGCACTGGTGTATGTCGTAAATCGTACGACGAAATATTCGTTCTTGACTGTTAACCAGAAAAACAAGCTAATTACTGTAGCGGTAATCATTTTACATGTCCGTAGTTGAGAGTTACCCCTTTGCCCTTATATTTCTTTGCAGTGTAAGCCCCACAGTCATGAACAGAGGTTTATGGAGTTTTAAGGAAGTTTGAACGAAGTACATGTGTATGTTAAATGTGCTGCGTTCTTTGAACCTTGTGAATTGGCGCAAAACGAAAACTAACGAACTAACGCTTGTATTCATGAACACGTACGAACCTCCGTAAATAAGGACACTTGGAGACTTTGAAATCATGTTTTATGTGGAAAATGAATAACGGCAATTACAATATTATCATCATGTGCGGTTAATAAATTGTCAGCAAAATGAGTTGACTTTTGCATATCCAGATTTGCATATGTCTAGTGTGATGTTTATGTCACGTGTTCTGTTGACTTACCACGTTGTACTGTGTACATGAACTATACTGTAGTTGTACTGAGTGTAGAATATAGCAGAATATAGTAATTTCCATGTGGTATACTGACAAGGAAATGCAAATGAAAGTTTAACTCATAGTGCTTAATGTGCTCAAGTAGATTTGAATCCAGATGTCTTATCCGGCGCAATTAGCTGTCCTGATTTGCGTCCTACAAGCATGAATCCAAGATTCGTTTTGTTTAATTTTGGGGGTTTTGAACTCTGCTGGTTATTTTACCAAAGTTTCGCCTAAGACATCTCTGACTTGGTTCATCAAGCAAGCTGACACACCATGACATAACTGAAATACTTTTTGTGTGTTTTTTGTTGTGGAATTGCAGACTGTTTGGTTATGTAAATCTATGATTCACGTTTCCTTCTAAATTTCAGGCACAGGAATTGTTGGTGGTACTTAACAGCAGATCATTACGTCAACATCAAACTAAGTGTTCTGGCGAACAGTTTCCGATCATCCGGTGACTGTTCTGTGGATACTATTTCCATTAGTGACGGTAGGAATGATATATGTGTAGTATTACTCAGCAGTGAGTTGAGAAATAATATGTCAGTGTATATGACTGTTTTCAAACTTCAAACACACGCACTAATACAAGTGTATAATAATTATTGTATATTATTGTTCATCATCTATATAATTATGAGATTTCCGATTAACAAGATAACAAGATGTTGTAGTGGAGCTAATTAATTTGCGTCTTATGACAGTTTAATAGAATATTTTAATGTAATATTTTTGTGAACTTTCTTTCCTGTGCCTGAAAAAAAGTATGCTATTGTCTTTACAACATGTATTCAGATTCCGGAGAAGTTGGTTCGCTTTGTGGAACTTCCGACCAAACATTCGTAAGTTCTGGGCACAATATGAGAATACGATTCTACTCTGGTAGTTACGGGACCACAGGAACAGGTTTCAAGCTGTCTGCCACTGGGGGTAATTACGCAGGTGAGTACTTCTGGAATGTTTGCTGTCATTTATGAAAGAGGCAAAATTCACTTAAAATGTACCAGTATTGTAATATTGCAGTAGCATATAGCTTAAAACTCAAAACCTCGGTTTGTTCTTATTTGGGCTGAAAATAATCCCACGAGAAATATGTGGTCTCATTTATACAGATATAAATGTACCTAAAGGTTACCTAATGGTATCCGTAATTTGAATTCATGTAATCATATCTTTCTTTGTTCTCCTTATATATCACCTATAACCATCATGATAATTGAAAAGGTTCGTTATTTTTTGCTTATGGGAAAACATATTCATCAATGCACAATTATTATTATATTTCAGCAACACACAACTATATTTATCATCAATGTGGATGTACCTTCCCTGTTCAACATTTTCTTATTAGTTTATTTAACTCCCTGGTGATAATCTTAAGATATTTCGCACATCCGACATCCAAGAAGCTATATCCATGTTGTCTTGTTATATTACTCGTGAAGGTCCGGGTTAGAATATTGATCTTCACTAACCCATGCTTGTCGTAAGAGGCGACTAACGGGATCGGTTGGTCAGGCACGCTGACTTGGTTGACACATGTCATCGGTTCCCAATTGCGAAGATCGATGCTCCTGCTGTTGATCACTGGATTGTCTGGTCCAGACTCGATTATTTACAGACCGCCACCATATAGCTGGAATATTGCTGAGTGCGGCGTAAAACTAAACTCACACACTCACTCTTGTTATATTATCCCCTAAACACTACATTCCGTCTTTGGGTGAGTGAGTGTGATTCTACTGGGCTTTTAGCAATATTCCAGCAATATCACGGCGAGGGACACCAGAAATAGTTTTCACACACTGTACCCATGTAGGGAATCGAACCCGGGTCTTCAGCGTGCCGACCATTTAAACAACCCCACTACCCCACAGAGAAGGAACGTAGACCTTGTGACTTCACTGATCATTCAATTAATACATTACGTAGTAACCTTTTTAGAGCAAGCTGTTGAATTATTACGTTTCATTCCGTTCAGCCTAACAATCCTGTAAAGTGTGTTTCACAGTGTCACAGTGGAACTGATGGCCATTTATCAGTCGGTATCTGATATTATGAAAAACCTGATTAGTGGTATTATATTTTTCTATTTGTTTTGTCAGTTGCCTGTTTTGTCAATTGGACACGGGCATCCTAGTTGTGTGATGTTTATGTTGCAGAAAATATGTGATTCGATTCGAATTCTAGGTTTGTCAGCACCAATCCCGAGCTCAATGGTCTGTACGTATGTCTAAGAAATGCCGCATTTTGAGCTATCGTCCCTAGTCAAATACAACCCAACCAAAATACAACAGTGATATAGCTTACTGGAGACAATTACAAATGTCGGATATTGCTGGACCGTTCATAGTTTATGGCTAGGGGGGTGGTGATGATTTTAGGGTGGGTGGGTAGGGGGTCACCCATTTTGTTCTGGGGAGGTAGTGGGGGTCATCAATTGTGTACACCTGTCCTAGCAGCAATTTTGTACATAAAATATGTAAGGATTATGCTTAAAAAATATGGGAAGGAGGAAGGGGGTGTCATTGATTTTGTACATGACATACAGGGGGGAGGGGTCACTTATTTTAGGGGGGTCATTCATATTGCACATGCTTCTCCATAAAAGTCATCATCAACCCCCTAGCCATAAATTATGAACGGACACAGACGTGATATAATTGTGCATTCGTGAAACGAGGCGAATATATGCTTAATGTTCGACTAATCGTTTGTTTCAGTTTGTGAGCCACGACATCTGGAAGCAGATGAGTATTATAGCTACGATTTAACATCGCCTCGGTATCCGCTCTCTTATCCAAAGTAAGATAGAAGCATTTGCATTCATTAATGCATAACCTGTATTAACAGCGTTACCTTTCAAATTGTGGAACACTTGTAAATTTAAGACAATGTTTTGAAATTCTTTTTTGCGTGTAGTGTATGATAACATTAACAAATTTTATCTTAATTTAATGCCTAGGATGAACAGTAATGATTTTCGGGGGAAAATAAGTGGGGTTTGTGTGTGTGTGTGTATGTGTATATACATATATTAAGCGCTCCCTTTTTCAGCAGACCGCCTCCGTGGTGTAGTGGTTAGAGCGTCCGCCCGGAGAGCGGAAGGTCGCGGGTTCGATCCCCGACCGCGTCATACCAAAAGACGTTAAAATATGGTACTTGTTGGTCCCTGTCTGGCGCTCGGCATTAATGGGTACAACAAGGACTGGTCAGCACGGAGTCAGTATAATGTGTCTGAGTGGGGTATTCATGCTTCACTGCGGCATGGTATCTCAGTGAGCTAGCACTATAAAACCAGCTTAAGTCTGGGCTAGTACAAGCAGCCGCACATACACATACGCACGCATGCACGTCGTCCTATGAGCGAAATATTCTCAAGCACGACGTTAAACTCAATTTCACCTCACCTCACCTTTTTCAGCAATGCCGACTGTACATGGTTCATATCAACCAATTCCTATGACCATGCCATTACTTTGCAAGTGGTGGTATCTGACATTGAATATTCTGCTGGCTGTTGGAAAGACTACGTTGAGGCATTAGATGGTACGTAAAGGTTGTGAAGTCATAGCAAATATAACCAGTTGTTAATTTGTGATGAATTTTTATTCACTTCATCATTTCAGAATAGTATTTATTCATTTCAGTTATCGGTGAACAGTACTTGTACAAATACAGCTCTGTTCAATGTTTCTGTTCAGTGAAGACTGACTGACTGAGTTTGGTTTTACGCCGCTTTTAGCAATATTCCAGCAACATCACGGCGGGGGACACCAGATATGGGCTTCACACATTGTACCCATGTGGGGATTCGAACCCGGGTCTTCAGCGTGACGAGCCAACGCATTAACCAATGCTACCCCACCGCCCTGTTCAGTGAAGAAGGTGGTTAGGAAGACATGGTTAAATTTTCAACATGGTCTCAAAGAATTATTTCCTATGAATATATGTCTTCCTAAATCTTCAGTGAGGGGAGTAGCAATGGGTTAACCAAGCGGTTAACGTAGTCGGCCGCCACAATTGCCAACTTTATGTACTGGGTGGACCAATTTTTGCTACTTCAATAATGCCGGAAAATACAGTATGGAAGAAAGGAGTAAAACTCAAACGTTGCGTTCTAAAATTAATTTTTCAATTATTCTGTTATGTCATTGTAAAGTTCAGAACACTGGCTGTGGGAAATATCTAACGAAAATGGAAACTGACAATAACATGAGCCTTGAGTTACAAGAATGTACTATTTCCTCGGTAGTGCCAGAACGTTTTCTGGCACCAACTGTGTATTGACCTCCTCCATTTTTATTTGACTCGAGGTTACAATAGCAATTTGTAATAATACACAAACGTCATTAGCTTAATTATTCCAGGTTGTGTTTGAAAACGTGCGCCTTCTTTGGATTGTTATAATGAGTAAGAGAAACTTTAGTCACATCGGCAATATTTCAGCCATATCGTGACTAAAACGGTTAATACGTTAATGATAGATAATATTAGGGTAATTTTTACTATCAAATCGGTCGACAGAGGACAGTACATCAACCAGACTATCACAATTTGAGATATTAAAACTAGCATTTAACATGAAGTTTCCATAACTATTTGGGACAATACAATGTAAAAAAAAACGGCCTGAGTATCGCCAGCAACTGAAGGTAGATCACAATACCAGGGACCATAGGGACTTACAGTACCTTTACTACCTGCATTGACCCTACATGGACATCAGTCCTTCAGCCGTTGGCGATTGTAGTGAAATTTAGCCAAATACTAAAGGGACACATATTCTGCATATAAAATACGTAGTATGAAAAACATATTTTGAATGAAATTGGACTTACATACCCTCTCAGGGAGGTAATCATTTCACGCTACTTCAACCCTCTTTGAAGGAATTGCCACAAACAGTCGACAGTTGTTTATTCATGCTGACAAATTAACATATATTTACTAATTACAATATAGAATCAAAATTTATTCAATAAATCAATATATTTTAAAAAACCCACAATAATTAAATGAAAACGAACCATTTCTTTGTTTTCGTTATGATCTTAGTCTACAGTATATGGATCAGTAGAAACCATTTGTTCTATCATATGTGCAGTTCCGAAAATGTTTGGAATGACACCTATGAGTATTTGGGACGTACATTTTAGGGCAGTACACATCTTCACTATCCCTTGGACGATGGTGCGGTATTCTTAACCCAACAAAGACAAGTTCTGGCAGCTCGATGACAGTTCTCTTTCATAGTGACCAATCTCACACGGAAGGCGGTTTCAAGATATCATATTACTCAAAGCAAAGGAACCAAAATGGTAAGCTACATAGATTGCCAAATATTCGGCAAACGGGACACGACATTACTTTTGACATACTTCCAAAGACGCCAAGTCATTGTGAACGTTATATTGTCACCATGACACAAAGAAGTTCTAAACGTGTAATTGTTACCATTATACAAAGCGGTTCTGAATATTATCTTGTCAAAAATGATAGCATTACAAAGTAGTGCTAATAATATCATTATACAATGTAATTCTAAATGTTACATTGTTACAGTGATGTAAAGTATTTTTGAACGTTCATTGTTACCATGGTTATAACAAACTTGTTCTAAATGTTGAACTGATCTAGTGATGCAAAACAGTTTTAAACGTTTTATTGCTTCCAGGATATAAAGTAGTTCTAAACGTAACCATGACGTAGTTCAAGGTGATAAATTAGTGGCTGCGTGCAGTGAATACTCATTACTTCAATACTTGTATAATACTTGCTTCAGAGAATGGACCGGTCGAGTTCAATACTGGTGCACTTTTCGGAGGATTGGCTGGAGGTGGGCTCTTGCTTGCTATCCTTATCCTTTGTGCAAGGTCATATAAGAAACGAAAGTTAACAGAAATGTCTCGAGCAGATGTAAGGACAAGACCTGCTTATTTGACCACACCAGTTGGGCAATTGTCTACCCCAACCCCGGAATATACGGTAGGGTACAGTCAGCAACAGGTTTCAATCCAGCCAATGAACACAGGGGAATACTACAACACCGCTGTGTTTGACCCACCGCCTTCCTACGATGAAGTTATAAAGAATAACACCGAATTCCAGGTACCTCCCCCTTACAGTAGTATTCCTGATAACTCTACAACGAACAGTAATACAGCAGACAGCCAGGCCGATGACGCACGGTTGTAGCAATTGTACTTGCGTCAGAAAGGCTATGCAATGTTTTTATTTGATATCCAAGGTCAACATTTACTTTAGTGGAATATAAGCACTGGAGAGTATTGGTCCACGACAGCAGCCAAGTGACTGGGCAGTGAACGTTGTGTTGCCGACTGTGTCAATCCTGACAGAGAAGGATGTGTCGGACATACAAACTTGTGTTTGACGTATCCTACGACGTCAGTGGTGAATTGTATAATTAGGTGACAGTGTGTTTGGTTGATGTTCCCGAACATTGGTTAATCGGACAGGCGGTTGTTGCAGCCCTGATCGCATCAGAAGGATACGGATGAGTGATTGTGGTTTTATGCCGGTTTTAGTAAAATTCCTGCAATACTACGTCGAGGAACACCAGGAATGGGCTTCAAACCAGAAGGATTCGGGGTACACTTAGTCAGAAGTATACGTACATGTAATGAAGATTAGGAATAAGATCCCATTGAACTTGTTTCTGTCGAACAGTCTGGTTTGCTAAAGAATGCACCGGAAAAAAGACTTCTCTCTCCAAAGTGGGCATATGTAATTTCCAAAAGAAAATAACACCACTTTGACTGGTTTTGGAATGTTGCTTTTGCTGGAGGTGGTGAAGAACTGAATAATGAGTTGCTCGGTGATGTTATTTGTTGAGTATATAATACCTGTGTGTGTAATTGTTAAAATGTATTGACAATTGCGCAATATCACTAACTTTGTCATGAGGTACCAGCTTCTTATCTTATAACAAATACCTTCAGTGCTACGTACAAACGGATAATATCATTAGCATAAAGTGAAAATGTATCTTAGTTTACAGACTGTTCGAATGTGAATTAGCTCTTCTTTAAGAGCCTTGTAATATTTCAGTGTACAGTTCAATAAACATGTAATGCAAACAATCATCCAACATTTGTCAGAGGAACATCGACTTGCAGATGTCATATATTTTGTCTGAAGAGGGTGTGTAATAATGGGTTGTGAAAGAGAATAAACTAGTATACACCAAACGTCCCCCCACTCGTTCGTATATCGGGGGGCGGTGGGGTAGCCTAGTGGTTAAAGCGTTGGCTCGTCACGCCGAAGACCCGGGTTCGATTCCCCACATGGGCACAATATGTTAAGCCCATTTCTTGTGTGCCCCGCCGTGATATTGCTTGAATATTGCTAAAAGCGGCGTAAAACCAAACTCAGTCAGTCAGTCGTATATCGGCATGCAACACGGTTTGTATGTCTGAAACGTGAATTATCACATGGAAATGCATGTAGTATTATTACATCTGTTAAAAAAATGTTCATGACCCTACACGTACCCAAGAAGAGTTCATGGCCCAACACATACCCAAGAAGTGGTCATGACCCAACACCGATCAGAAGTGGTCATGACCCAACACCGATCAGAGGTGTTCATGACTAAACAGACACACAGACCCAGAACTGTTCATGACCCAACACGTACAAACGAAGAAGTTCATGATCCTTTTCATAACAAAAGTGTTCATAATCCTACACGCACTACAGCTTGTTCAGCTTGACCTGAGCTACTCTACATATGCATGACCTTGGAGGTCAAATGGTACAAACGGCTGGTCGAGTTAACTTCATTAAATAGGGGACATGTTCTATTCGTCCCAGGGTTGCACTGGAAACATCAGGCCAGAATCGCATAACATTAAACCATCTGTAGCTTATTTTTTTAAAAAGTTAGGACATTGCTGAGACACTGAGATGTCAAACGGCGACCTTGTCTTGGCTTTTCGGACATGTGTGACAATCAACTGACAAAGGTTTGCACCCCTTCACAATATACACCGAACCAGTTGTGACACGGTCACGCAATACATTATTCACTTGATTAGGTCAAGCTGAAGAACACATGACCCAACACATAACAGAAGTGTTCATGGCTCTATGCGTAACAGAAGTGTTCATAATCCTACACGCACTAATAGACTAGTGTTCATGACCCAACAGATACCCAGCAACCCAGAAGTGGTCATGGCCCTATACATCCCAGAAGACTTCATGACCTCACAGGTACCCAAGAAGTGTTCATGACTCAACACGTAAGTGAATGAGTTTAGTTTACGCCGCACAATATTCAAGCTATATGACGGCGGTCGGTATATAATCGAGTCTGGACCAGACAATCCAGTGACCAACTGGAAGATGATGACATGTGTCAACCAAGTCAGCGGGCCTGACCACCAGATCCCTCTTACAACAAGCATGGATGACTGAAGACCAATTCTTAAGTGGAAAAGTCCTTTTGTGGAAAAGACAATATACCTATGAAATTATGTGAATGGACTACTGAATTTAGTAAAGAGCCATTCAAAAATTATCATAGAAAAGTAAATATGAATAGCCTGACGCCACACAGCAGAACTTCTGCCACGCCATGTAAACAAACCACACAGACCAGTGATAAATGAGCCAAAACTCATTGTTTAATGACGGCTGTATTGAAGTGCATACATTTTGCTGCTTACAAGTAAAGGCAAACGTTAAGGAAATTAATTTCGTTCACAGAGGAGTTTGAGTATGAATGTCTCGGACGAAACATTTCTTTTGTAGTTGACTTAGTATATATAAATGCTACTGAGGGTATGATGCAGATCTCAGACGATTCTTCTTTGATAAAACAGACAAGCAAGAGTAGTGTGCTGACAATCATTGACATTCATCATCAGGTATCGAAACCAGTGATTTCGGTATGGTGCAACCAGAAATCTCGTTAGTGAGAGCACTACCAACTCGGTTTTAATTCGAAGAGTTATATTAATTCTGCCACGAAAATCATGAAACTATGTTAACGTTTCATTGACAAATTTCGAAAAAATATATGAAAAGAAACCTGGAGATTAAATGATACGGGTTTTTTAAACTATACGCATGGTATTAATTTATTACCATCATTCGATAGATACATACAGTTAAAATGTGATCAGAAATACGAGTTCTCCATGAACGCATTTACATCAAGTAAATACTACAATATAACTAAAATTGTCACATACATATACACACAGAACCTACGTTATGGAAATTAAAGGTCACTTTTAACCACCAATCACTTTATCCATTATTAGCTGAAATTCAATAAGAAAGGTGAGACTGAGACCAGTATCAAGATAGAAAGAACTGCATGTTGCCCTGTGCATTACATAAAGAGCATCTCAGGTTGACGTCACATTGCAACACTGCTCAGCAAGGTCGTAGCATGAAATAAAATCGAGAATGTACTGTGTTAGGGGTATTAGCCTTCAAATATATTCAAAATGGTTGCGGGCTTTTCTAAAATTAAAGTCTACCTTTTCATTTTCACTAAACATTTTAAGGTTGAACAAGCAAATACAAAATGTTGTATAGTTGGTTGCTACCACTACTACTACCACTGCTGCTGCTACAGCTACTGCTACTACTACTGCTTAAATAAATACTAATTATCACACGCCGTAAATGTAGATTTATTCGTTGAACACATATACATGATGACGATCTGTCAAGGAAACAGAATAAATTAAAAAAAATGTAAACTAATCACCGTCGTGTCTTTCAACAGTACACAATTTCAATGGAAATAAATAGTATTGAAATATCAACTTGTTGCAAAAATACTTTATGGATCGAATAATGTTTTACTTGTTTGTACTAAAATAGCAATATTACAGCCAAATGACAAATCATTACTGGACCACACAATTTAGTGAGTGACATAACGACTACCGTTGTATGCAACTGCCGCATACCCAAGAATCTGTGCCCTGAAAATCACTCCAGGTTGAAATCGAACGCAAGCTGGTGATCGGTAAATAGTAACTGTAGTTCAGATGTCTATCTGAGTATTTAGAACATGTTCCCTGGATTCATAATACTGGAAATCATGTCTGTATGGTGCTGTAAGTTAGACATATTGAAACATTTGGAAGACACTTATAACAACATTTGAAATTTGTCTCATGGTTGCTTCTACATGCACACCCGCGTTTAGAATTGATCTTCAGTAACCAATATTTGTTGTAAGAGGCGGCTAACGGGATCGCGTGGTCAGGCTCACTGACTTGGTGTACACATGTCATCGATATCGTATGCCAATTGCGTAGATCGATGCTCATGCTGTTGATCACTGAATTGTCTTGACCAAACTCGATTATATACCGACCACTGCCATATAGCTGGAATATTGCTGAGTGCGGCGTAAAACCAAACTCACTCACTTCTCCGTGTTAATGCACTTCCTCTATTTTTGTGACAACTTCAGTGATCGATGCACCGTTTATTAATGCAGGCATAAAAAATGTTCTTCTAATGTTATAACAATCAGCATTTTCTCTGTATATATATTCAACATATCTGTAGTATGACAAAGCACGTTCATATTTACCTGTTAATCGTCATTACCCATAGGTGCATGGGGTTGGTGGATGTATATGCACGGACAGGTCAGTACGTCCTGCAAGGTCGCTTACTGTGGGAAGGCAATTCAGCCAGGGCATCTGGTCATCTGTAAGAACGCCCACACAGAGTTGGAAAATAGCCTTAGCCGAGTTTTTTTTGCATGAGAAGGGGCGACTTCAACAAAGTAAGTGAAGTATCCCAAGAGGTTTATTTACAACATTATACAAACACTTATAAAGTCGTAATCACATGACACAGAATTTATGGGTTGAAGGGTGGGGAGACAACGTTCGGGTTTAAGTGTTCAACAGCCACCCAGAAGAAATGTGAGTCAATGTAGTCCATGCCCTGCGCACTCCCGCTGTCAAGTGCCAATGCATTATATTGCTGTGTCGCAATACTTCTACACAAGCGAAGCTGCAGTTGCCCACCAGCTGTAGTTGTGTCGCAATACTTCCAAGTTGCAGTTGTTTTTTTATGCTGTACAACTTGTATTTTTCAATCAAATATTCTCTTCAAACTACGTGTTCACACTCCAGCTGAATGACGACGGCCTGTAAACAATCGAGTTTAGACAAACCTGACCACCCGATCCCGTTGGTTGCTTTAGATGAGCTCTATCCAGTGTCTCTGTTCAGTTCAAATCTATAAACTGCATCAGAAGACTCCTCACTCAGTTACAAAAAGCAGTTCCTACAACGAAACATACCAATTCTACTTCAGACGTCATATCGTTAGCTTTACAACGGGTCAATATAACCTACATACCTTAACCAGTTGCACAATACCTTCACTGAGTGGAAAATATCACGTTATCAGTGACGTCACAGTTAAGGACATGACAACCTGGCTATGTTTCTATAACTAGGGCACAGACTTCGTAGAGTTCACACAAGCATACGGACTACACAATGTTGATACTGACGTTGATCTCAACGACATTGTTGATTAGTAACATCCACGCAGATGCCAGCAACTCGGCAGGTAGGCCCTTTATCAAACCCTATTTTGGATCCCCCTTCACAAACGATGTCTCGCACAATCGCGATCTGTGTTTGCCGACCTGATGTTGTAAACACTAGTTCAGGAAAGTTATATGTACAGATATGGCTTACCAGGGATAACACCTTTCACACTTCCCTTCACCGTTCAGTATCACTATTTCTCAAAAACTAATTGTAATTAGGCACAGGAATGTATAGATGAATATAAAGACATTTAGGGTTACGTACAAACTGTGTGTGGATCTTCTAATGTAGATATAGCTGTTACTGAGTACACATCATAATCTTGTCAACAGAGCCCAGTGTTATTTGGTTTTGTTTGTATCCGAATATGGATCACCTGCCCCTCAAATAGTCTTTCATTTACAGAATACTGGAACAAATATAGTTTTCATTACGGGGCTGTTGATATTAATTCTTTGAACAAGACACGCAGTAATTAGCTACAGGCACTATTTAATTTTAAACGATATACTAGCTTACTTTTGAAATACATGACAGAAAAATACGTGGGCTCAACCTTCAACCCAATTCATAAACACAAGTATGTCTTAGATTATTTTCTATTAAGGAGGAAGTTCCACGTATATGCCACTAGACAATCCCAGTATAAGAAATGATATAAGATTTCCTTTCCTACAGCTGTGAGTGTTGAAATGAATCTGTTCATATAGTAGTCACCACTATTTTGTACGTTAAACATAGCCTAGTCACTACTATTTTGTATGTTGAAAGGGGTCTGTTCATATAATTGTCAATACTATTTCCTACGTTGAATCAGTTCATATAATTGTCACTACTATTTGCCAATGGTATGTTAAACGGAGTCTGTTCACATAATTGTCTCTACTATTTTGTATGTTAAATTGAGTCTGTTCACATAATTGTATACTATTTTGCATGATTAATCAGTTTATATAATTGTCACTGCTATTTGGTATGTTGAATAAGTTCACGTAATTGTCTATACTATTTGCCTGTGGTATGTTAAACGGAGTCTGTTCATATAATTGACTCTACTATTTTGTATGTTAAACGGAATCTGTCCATATAGTAATTGTCACTACTATTTGATATGTTAAGTCTGTTCATATAATTGTCGCCATACACCTGGAATATTCGTGAGCGCGACGTTAAACAAGAAACAAATCATATAATTGACACGACTATATTTATATTGACAGGAGTCAGAGGAGGTTTTAGATTCAATTTAGACATTATCAGATTACGGATAATAACCAGCGTAACACGTGCCGGGTCTGCGTTTTGTCATTTCAACGGCTGCATACTATTATGGCGCCTTTTCTTGTTTATCGTGTTTACAAATAACTACATAATATCAGATGGACAACATCCAAACACGTAGACGCATTGTAATTAAACAAGTGTGATACTATTGCAGGGTCAACGTTGGCATAGACTACCAACACTCTGCTGGGGTGTGAGGTTGTTTATTTCGGTGAATGTGATCGATAAACGACACCCTGTAACAATAAATATAATAATATTATATACATCTCACACAATTCATACAGTATGCATATAATTCCATACACGGGTTAATACATATGGACAATTACCAATAATACTGTAGTTACTCAAGGCATGAATACCATTATTTACAACACATATGGAATATGGGCATTATGAAATTACAGCATTACGAATAACGTAATGATAATACATGCGTACAATGTAATACACAGAAGATAGATAATAATACACCATTACGCATTAGTCGTTATGATAATGTACACATGAGTCGTCACCACGCATTACGTGATGGTACTATATACAAATACAATGATGTAAAAAGACATATACACATACCCTGTGGGTGGTACAAGGGTGCACAACAATCGGGCACGGCACCAGTCTTATGGACGGGGACCTATCTGCTGCAAATAATATTAGATGATAAATAATATACAATGTAATGTGGAGTAGATTTTGGGCTGCTACATTCATGAACATAAAATAATTACTTCCACACATTGATAATTACACTTATACTTATCATAGTTAAAACATAGCAACTTATATTAAAACACATTCTCTCATCTGACACATTCAGTGAAAGGGATAGTAAAGATAGGAAACTATTAGTGATACTTATTGATGTTTATAGCTTAGGATTGGAAAGCTAGCATAAATACATATAGCACACTTACATGCTATACAATATAATACCTATTTAAATGATAGTAAATAGATATGCGTTTATTATATATATACTCCAAGGATGAAATGTAATATTACTTTAATTAAATGAATACTAACCTTAATGTTACACTGTGTGTCTGTCTAAGCTGTCCAAAAGTCAGTGCAGAATGAGTGAAATTGTGCATGGAGTTCGTGAGACCAATCAGCCGAGAAGCGTCATGGCTTGGGCAATTAGTGAGAGAGGCCAAGCTCTAAAGCTTAAACCTTAAACTGCCTAGAAATAATATAGCTAAAAGGAGAGAATAATAACATGATTAAAATAATATATTTACACTGAAATACACCTGCCACAATACTTTGACTTTAAATGCCGAAGAAAATAAACAGAATAGTTCTTTCATAATCTTTTCAAAATCGTTACTTTTTACATCGATAGTAAAGGAAGCATACAGTGATAAATCTGCTAGTCAAAGTTTGACATTAAATGACTGACCTTAAATCAGTACGATGTTGCTATGCCTTATGCTGATTTCTGTTGCTCTAGTTTAAGACAAAGACAGGTTATACCCATTTAAGTCACAGTACGCACTAATATAATATAAATATTCTGGTCTTTGATAATCTGTTGTACCGGTGTCTGTTATTCCCGTTTAAGTCACAGTATAAACTTAGCTAATATAAATATTCTGGTCTTTCATAATCTCTTGCACCGGTGTTTGTTATTTCCGTTTAAGTCACAGTATAAGCTTAGCTAATATCAAACCATTCTGCTCTCTGCTAACCTGGTACACTGCTGTCTGTTATTCCCGTTTAGTCACAGTACGCATATAAATATTCTGGTCTTTATACTGTTATGATGTCTGCTGTTTGTTTTTAACACCGCACTCAGCAATAGTCCAGTTAATTTCTCATAATGGTTTCGCTCATTTTCAAATATTGATCATGATTTTCTTTCAATAACTTCAGCATGCGTCATCTGTCAGAAGTTTAAAACCGAATCTGTGAGCCTTTATAATATAATATAATTTGTGTTTATTTTTCAGTCATAGCAGTCAACACAACGTTCTTGGTGAACGAAACAGCAACACACGTTGTATCACCTGTGTTTCATGTAGGTTTTCGGTATGTACGCGTTTGCATCCTAAATATATTAAACTTTGTTTGTCCTTATGTGTTCTCGATTACCCTAAGTAGTATACGGTATGGGGCTACGAGACCAGGTCCCTCCCAGAAGTCCCTAATCCCGTAGCCCCATAGCGTATACTACTACTGAGGTGCATGCAAAATGTGATGAAAATCGATGGAATAGTTTCTGAAATATTGACTTTTAAATGAGCATGGGGTCGGTTGGGAAAAGGCAAAATGTCCAACTTTTTGTCGTTATTAAGTCTAATTAATCTAATGAAGTCATTGAGAGTGTTCTTAATGCCTTTTAGCAATAGCGTAACCATCTGCCGAGATGCATGCGAAAATAGGTCAAATAGTTTAGGAAATAATAACTTTTTAGTGAGCTTGTGGTCGGTCTGGCGAAAGGCTAACATCCAACGTATTGTCGTACTTGTTATATATTAGCGAGGCGAGAGGTGTTTTCAGCCGATTGATACGCAGCTCTTGGCAGTTCCCCCGAGCTGCCTTGCTACCATCTCGTTAGGACGTACTTGTAGCGATGTGTGAGCTGTCTGAAGGTGAATGAAACGCAGGTCTCAGCAGTCATCACCTCGCTACCGTCTCGGGGGTTGCTCTGAGCGAGCGCCGTAGACGAGTATAAGTGTGTGTGTGTGTGTGTGTGTGTGTGTGCGTGCGTGCGTGCGTGCGTGTGCGCGTGCATGTGTGTGTGTGTCTTGGCTCGGCTCGGCTTGTACAGCCGACTGGCTGGCTGGCTGGTTACGTTATGTTCATTTCCACTAAATCATACCGCAGCTCTCGGCAATTCCCGCCGGGTCGCCTCGCTGCCGTCTCGGTATCACCGAGCGAGCGCTGTGAGCCAGTCACAGTGTGTGTGTGTGTGTCTCGGCTCGGCTATTCACCTACAGCTCGCTGAGCTGACTGGCCGCCTGGCTACGTTATGTTGATGTCTGCGAAACAATTTATTGTTAATCTCCTTTTATGACTTTCATTTCGTAATGAAGGCTTGTCGGGCCTGTTGCTTCCCTTGGTTCACGAACTTTTTTTTCTCGAAAGCCTTTTTACGAGACCTGGTTAGAATCTTTTGTTTCATTCTGTGATATTTTGCGATTTCTGATAGCAGCAAACGAAACTCTTCCTCAGAGATTTTACAGTCGGTGAGCGCGGTGGAAATATGATCGTCTATCCTGTATAACTTCGCTTCGGCTAGAATTCTAATTTTTTCCTGTTTCAATGCTTTACGTTGCAGTCTGCGAGACACGAACTTAAGCGCCAATCCCATCAACCCTGTCACTCCGGCTGTTATTTCGATGCCTAGCACCACGGGTGCGGGCACGATGGTGGATAATAACCTGACACCTGCTACGCCTAATCCCATGCTGACTGAAATCAGGGCGCTGTCAACACCATCCACGGAATTGACGGCCTTGTGATATTTTTTTTCTGTAATGCCGACCGCGTATCGCGTTCACATTCTAGTTGTTATTTGATCTAGCATATCTGTTGCAAATGAAACTTGTCTACGGTTTCCGGTGTTTTTGCCACTTCATCCACGACCGGGTACAGTCCCAATCTGTATATATACTCTTTTTATAAAATAGTATTTAATTGCTCCTCAGTCAATGTTTAATGAATATACTTTAAGCTGATGAGGTACACGTTTTGGTATATAAAAATGGTCTGGAGGTTAATGTAATCCTTTTGAAAAATCATAATATCTAGGTTTGCAGTGGGGTTTCTTCCTACGACAACGCTTTTGTTGATGGTGAGGATGCCAGCGTATTTTTAATCCATGCAAAACGTCTATATCTACTCTGGGGGCATCTCCAAGAATAACTTCGATAATAAGAGTAGAACCTTGTATCACACTGATCCACGAGTCTGGCACGACAGTATATTTGATTAAAAATAACAATGCTTTTTTCTCATTGGGGACTAACATGTTAGCCGTTTGATCTGGTAATGGCGCTACGCTCGTCCACGTTAATATTCCAGGATCAAACCTCCCCAACAGTATCACGTTATTTTTTAGTGAACCGCCACCCTCATTATTATCCATGATAAGATAGGGGTAGGTCAGGACCAGGTTAATAAACCAGTTCAACTGAGATTCGAAGATGACTTCTCGTCGTTTGTACACGTTGTCTTGTAAGTGCATGACGTATAAGGTGTTTTCCTCGCCGGGGAGATCGAATCCCCACGTGTCCCCTAGATCGGGTAGCGTTACGTTGGGGTGATGGTTCATCTCGTTTATATAGAATGTATTACGAAATGGTTTTCAATTGGTTATCGGATAATTCCTCGGACGTGCACTTCAAACCCATGAGATGTATGTTGTTGAGCAGGAAAATTTTTGTGAGCGATATCGTGTCTTCTACGGTCACAGTGACACCCTGCAGACTGGTGTAGTCGTTAACGTTCACCCGCACGTAAACGGAGCAAACTTGGTATTGTTGTTGTTTGGCCCAACAGAGTTTGATCCCTTTCACGATTTCGACGACGTTACGCACCGACAGCGGTTCGCTGAGGTAGACTTGGATGTACAGTGTGGTTTTCGATGGCAGATTTTCCAGGACGTCTACCAAGCTGTCGAATTCCAACACCATCTGCAACCCCACGTTTTGCATCCCGGGTTTGCTCGACAGCATGTGGGCTACTCTTTGCCTCAGCATGCTGACGATCACGCTGGGTCTTCTCGTAGGGATGTAAGCCACGAGCAGCATTCCGTTGTTCACGACTTTCATCAGGTAGTGATCCTTGTTGTCCATGAAAACGTGGGGAGAGTCGAGCGTGATGTTGAGATTCCAGTCGATTTTGGATGGCACTAATACCCAATTGTTGTCGTCGTTGAAGATGAGATGGTACTGCGTGTTTCTGGAGACGGCTGTGGTCTCGACGTCGTCCAGGTGAAACAGCCTGCTGCGGAAGGCTTGGGTTATCGTCCATTCGTCCTCGTCGTTGCGTATCAGGTCGTGTTTAATGTCTAAACTGAAATTTTCAATTCCGTGATGTTGCCTCGGATTAATTTCTTGTACTGCCGCGATGAAAACGATTCGGTTCTGCCGTCGTTGTACTTTTCCATTTTCACCGGCACGGCTCTCAGCAGTGTGGAAGGTCGTTCGCCTTGAACGTTGTCGGTCGTACTCAGCTGATCAAGATGAATGTACAGTTCGCGGTACGGAACGAGTTCGAGTAAATCATGGTGGGTTTTTGTTGTATTACGCTCGACCAAAACCCGAGCGTTTTAGTCAGTGGCCGGCTGAGTCTCAAAGTGTTTTCTCCATTGTTGACCAACATGACCGTGCCATTCGAGTCTTTATTTTGAGTTTGGTTCCCACGTGTTTGAATATTTCGTCGTTCAGTGAGCACATACTGTAGTAGACGTCTCTTATTTGGTTGCGTTTGTCATTGACAAACAGCCTGTAGTTGTGTCCTCTGATGTTGATCCATTGCGGGTAGTAGGTGATATCGCAAATCGCGACTTCAACGTCCCCTGACGTGTTATCGATCGCGTGCAGCAGTGGAACGGGCTCGCCGCTCGTGATTCCAGGTAGCGTGACGTACATGTTAAACATATGCAAGACACTACAATATATATTCAATATGCTGTTTTATCTTAAAAGCGATAATATAAGTGCTGA